CTTTACTGCGACTTCACTTTCGAATGCCACGTCTCCGAGTAGACTAGCTTAGTAATGAGGCTAATACAACACTTCCGAATCTTCACTCGGTGCATCCAAGATCTGTGGCCGGTCCTACTTAGTTCAGTTATGTTACATGTCGTGCTTGTCATATTCAAACCCAACTGAGGGCTTAAAATGGATACAACGGAAGGGCCCAAAACAGCGGGTTTCCCACGCAAATTTTTCAAATTTACCAGGGCAATTTTCTGTAGCGGTTATCTTATTCGCCAGTATGTGAATTGAATTAGAGTAGTTTCCTCACGTAGAGGCACTTCATCGGAGCGTCTAGATTGTTGAGTCGGCGCTTGCACGCCGCCAATTTGCCGCGTCGCTTCCGGCTTTTATGAGGTTTTAATGGCAAGTTTCTAACACGCCACCTTCCTTGCGCTTTGCGACAATTGCAACGGATTGATCTTGTGCTGGTGATAGCCAAGACTGCCATGCACAAATGTGCTGCTGACTCGAAGTGAGAGACGAAGTTTCAAGGTGATCCGGTGATGGATAGGCGGGTAAAATAGCTCTGTATTGAGAGATTTTGAATTTTACTGGTAGATGAATGATACTAGACTATTCTCTGACACCTTGTGACGATATTAGCAGAGATTAGTTACGTCATGAGTATTATGAGATGCATTTTCTACATCCAAATTCTACATAGTTCTGAACAGAAAGTAAACAGTAGCTAGCCTTGATTTATTAATCATCCCAAAAATCCCAAGCCAAGTTAACGTCCACAAACTCGTGTATTTACAACATGTTGCTATGGCTCTGATTGTATTCAAAAGGGACTTCATGTTATGAGGTTTATCCAGAACCACGCTTTCCGTGGTGTTGGACAAGCATAACAACGTTGGACTTGGTCCGCACGAATGAGAGCATGTCTTTTTTTTGCATGAGGTTTGAATTGTGTATGTAGCTAGCTAGCTATGACACAATGTGAGAGGAAAAGTACATGGTAGGTGACTCAACTTAAATGTAGAGCACTCTCACCTCGGATCTTATTTGTGAGTACCTGTGACGGACTCTGCCCGCATTGGGACTTGTCACTAGGACCACCCCGTCTTCGAGGTTAGGCTGTGGCAGAGCAGCGCTCCTGGAAATGCGAACGGGCCGCATAAGGAGGTATCAAGGGGGGTACGTACCAGATGAGGAGTATGATACAAGAGAATTGGTGAGCCGGGAAGAAGCGATGATTCTCAGGTGGCCCAGGTGGGGAGTTTAGACTAGTTTACGCAGAGGATGTAAGGGATGGGAGACTACGTGGTAGATTGTCTTCCCAAGGAAGAAATTATTAATTACTATCGAGTTATTGTCCTTCAAGCACATCTAGATTCTTTAAACCTTTACAGTACCACTACGAGGTTATGGAGGCTTTTTCTTCACCCCAAGTCAACCCTCATCCGTGAATACCCACACAGTGGCACTCAAAACCCCTGAGTTATCCAGACATGTTTCCATCGTCCATTGAATTTTCTGCGCGCGAAGTATGTATTGAAAGGTTGGTGATGTATATGGTCGTATACACTTGGTATCTGTAATTGAATGGTTGTGACTGCTCAGGGGGCTTAGAATAGACTTGGGTGATTGTGGCAATAAATATTACGGGATGCGAATGGTATGTTGTTGTGTTATTATGTTACATGGTTGGATGGTGCAGTGGTACACCATCCGGGCTGTTCTCCTAAGTAGATACTGGGTAGCTTGAACACCTACCCCATTCGAGACAGGAGAAAGCTAGTTCGAATCCAGTCAGACCCACACACCACTCTCTCTTGCGGTGATATCGTACTTTTGGGTTGATGAACGCACAATTGGGTAGCCACAGGGTTTTCACGCTTTTCCCTGTGGTGGGTATGCACGGAAGAGATTACACGCCGTAAGGGTTAACCTCGAGTGGTATCTGCAAATGAAATCTGAATGTGAGTGTTCTAATCGTCAAATTGAGTCGTTCTGCTTAAAGTCCATATCTTCCGATAAAACCTGCGTGGGCCTCAAGGCGCCAAATCAGGTAAAATGAATTCTATATATATATGTCGTTTGGTTATATACGCGTATACGCGTACGCAATGGGTTTCTCTCGGATGTGGTGATTCTTGTTCTATTCACTTGCGGGCGTGTCTGCCATATGGGCGACACGGCGAACCGCACTAAGTCATGTGACTACTGCCTACTCACAAAACAAACTCCCATACCTGCCAGGTGACCACAAACCTACTTTCGCTTTGAGGATCCCTCTTTTTTTTTTTTTAAATCATTTAATGTGTATTCAGCTATCTAGCTATGACACATGACCGGCGCTATGTATACATGTGGGATGACTCTTTTGACGTTAGAGACACTCATACTCTGGATTTCATTTGCAAATACCACTATGAGGTATGTTCGCTTACACAAACAGTCGACCCTCTTCCGTTAGTACCCACCAAAGGGAATTTAAAAACCTTTGATTATCCAAGCATGCCTTCGTCATCCATGCATACAAGCGCCGCGAGAAATGTGGCTGTGTTTTGCCGGATTCGAACCAGCCATCTACTGTCTCAAGTGGGATATGTGTCCAAGCTATCCAGAGTCTACTTGGCAGACCGGCCAAGACGATGTACCACCGCACCATCCAACCATGGCAGTTTTTATAGTGTCGCCTGCACTCTCGCAGCCGAAGACTTGGCACGCACAAAGCTCAATTTGTAAAAACTCCTTTCCAAATTTCAAAATTCCACGCCCGTCGAGACTGTATCCAATCCTCTGGATCATCTTATTAACTTGTCCTGATCCCTCTCACATCCATCCCAAGGAATTGTCTTCCAGATTTGTGCGTCACGCTTTGCTTCCTCCGTCGGGTGTAAATATCGGCGTGGGCGTGTATTTGGTGACCGGCTTAGGCCAGAGAAAGTCGACGAGTGGTGTGGTCATTGGAATAAGGATGTACTAGGTCGTACTTGTAAACTTGATGAGGTTTAGGTAGGAATCGATTTCGTTGGGAGTGAAAGATTGATATGGTGGAGTAATTTGAATCATTGCCTCGTGGGCCAACTTGTTCGGTATTGCGAAGTTTGACTGAACTTGGCTCTGGGAGAATATTTCACTCCCAGGTTCGTAGAGGACACCGCGTACAGGTGTTCAGTCTTGCCCTCCTGAGGAACCCTCATTGATATTACAACATATACACATTATGTCACAGGTTATCTACATGATAATTAACCAATCCCACATACTTTTAGATAGCTCCGTAGCTAGTCTCATTTAGGAGTGATCTACGGGTGAGTGAAGCGATCGGTGGTACTTAATTTATCGCTAACGTGTTTCCATTTCCCTGGCTCTGCACGCTACACTACTTGGACAACGATTTACTTCTAATGTGAAAAGCGCATTCATGATAGTATGGTCTGAAGATTCTCCCTTCCGGTTGGAGTAGGTGCCCAGGCTACTCAAACCACACCAGAAATTGAGTCATCTTTTCTGAACTTTTCTTTGATATTATGTCATAGCTAGATAGCTGCATACGCAATTAAAATCTGATGCAAAAATAAAACCCTCCCCACACCAGAGTATCTCACTTGTGCGGGCTGAACAAAGATTCACAAGAATGAATCACCATTGGGCCAATACGTTGCAACGTAGCACTTTTGATTCATAACATAGTTTGCCGCATCAACTCTCCATATCCGTGTTCTTGACCAAGTTCTTGGGTCACGGGTAGGATGATATGATGTCCCAATTTTTTTAATATTTTAATTGCATTTTTTCTGCCTATAAATCTGTGGCTCGTTAGGTCCTCTCTGCCTACAGGCCAAGGATACCTATCTTGTAGTATATCCCTTCCCATGCCTCCAACACAGCTCCCCTCAAATAGTATCACCCCTCACAAATTCTCATTCAATCATATACTAGGAGAAGTCCTTAGCCATTCATTATCTCCTCTCTCCAGCCAACGTAACGATCACCATTTGCGGGTGTATGGCAGCCGGGAAATATCGCAAAAACCACTGGTTGCGGAGCTCTCCTATCACCGACATTAGTAATGTATCCGAAGATTAAGCCACTCATTTGAAGCGTTCGAAGAGACAGGCCGGCTGAGCGTTGTAGACTTGTGGGTACCTCAGGAAAGTCACATTCTACCTTCCTAGCTACCTTCCAAGCTTCCCCGAAGGTCATATTGAAATTTCATAGAATTCTTTACAGAGCATATTTACTGTAAAATGACTTAGCCCAACTTCATTGTGCCATCTGGAGAACTGGAGAGCGCCGTAGACCCATTGACAAAAGAAGTTCTCCTGCCTATTTAATTGAAACCTTGGCCTTGGCGGCTGCAAGCATTCCTAAGTCAAAGACTCATCCGAAGAGTTTGTCCTAGTTGCCCGTCTACCCTCAAAGGATACATCTCCATAAGCCAAGATCTGAGCTTTGTATATTATCACTTTATTTCCTTCATGCAGATTTACATAGCATCGTAGATTTGATGTGGGATATGGCTGGTAATTAATCGGGCAATCTCGTATTTGCAATTGAATTAACTCCTTTATCGGTTGTTGAGTCGAGGTATATTGTGGTAACATTGAGATGGAGAATTAAAATGGGAATGCTAAGAGCGAAATAGGTGAGAAGTTGTCGAATATAGACCAGCTTGTGCTTGTATTCGAACTCGATTTAGTTGCGATTCTTCCTAGCTATCCTAGACATGCAGAGCATACTTGGCAATTACATGCGCACCACTGGAAGGTGAAGTATTCGTCTTTGCCGGCAGCCATATGTGAGAACTTTGGTTGTTCTAATCTTAGAGACTTAAGACACAGGTTCTGCATTTTCAACAACGCATATTAGATAAATTTACTAAGCTATCACTGGTTGGCAAATAAAGGATGAAGATTGATCTATAAGATAAATCTATTCCATTTCAATGCAGCAAATCTATTTCTTCCTGTAAATTAATTATTAAAAGTAGAAAATAATACAATGGTATCTCAAGCTTCGTGCTGGTAGCCTAATATAACTCTAAGTATTTTATGAATACTGGCCTCTGATGGCGACTCGGATTCCTGTAACACCGGCTCTAGAAGCTTATGTTCAAGAAACCTTCTCCCAACCTCTTCTGCATCTTCAAGCTCTCGAATCTCGTCTGCAGACACCGTCGCACATGCTGCTATTAGATCCTCTCCTCGAGCCTCTAAGAGTATCAACTCTTCCGCTCTCTCGACTATAGCCTTGTCAATACCACTCATTAGAGCACAGTAAGTTCCAAAACTTGATGTGCTACGACCAAGAACAAAATTATACAAGTAGGTAATTTGGTCCACCTTAGTGTCGACATCCGTCTCAACCCTGACTTCCATGTGACCAAATTCTAATCCTGGCCGTTTGGAAAGATATCCGTTTTCAAAGATCTCGTGGTTGTGGGTTGCTCCAAGGACTTTGGGCCGCTCTGTCCCTAGACTAAGTAAATACTCAAAAACTCCGCAACACAAGCCAGCACCGTCCGATGCACTGGTACCTTTACCGAACTCGTCGATTATAATAAGAGAGCGACGTGTGGCTAGAGATAAGGCCAAAGAAATTTGCTGCAAATCGATCATAAATGCACTCTGATTTCTCGAAACACTCTCTCTAGTTGTAATTCTTGTCATAATTTTATCGGTTAACCCAATAATGGCACTATCAGCTGGAACAAAACTTCCAATGTGCGCCATATAAACTATCAAAGCATTTTGTTTCAAATAGACACTTTTACCGGAATAGTTTGGTCCAGTTAAGATGAGCATTCCTGGATGAGTTGTCTTTTCTGGAGATGCCGGCTCAGGGACATCAGTATCAATATTTCCAGGACCTCCAGTGATGAAGCATGGATTAGGTATGTAGGTTGGAACGCTCAACTCCTGTAAGGGATGCCTGCCACCTTCAATATGTATTACATTCGCCGTCGTTATCTTAGGTTGGATGAATTGGTATTTCTGGGCACCTAAGGCCAAGGCGACAAAACTATCTAGTTCTCCGCAAAGATCAGATGCAGTTGCGAGGATTTTTTTACGCTCTAAGATGCTGACTGCTAACATGTGAATAATTTCTATTTCTCGATCTTCTTTGTTAGTTTTAAAACAACGCATCAAGGATGGCGAGTATCTACCGCATATTATTCCGTACATATCACCAAAGTATTCATCCATTTGTTCCATGCGCCTATTCTTGTAATAGCCCATGTTTTCACTGACGAATTTTTTCTCCCAAGAATCATCATCTAATCCTTCTCCTTCGTACTTACCTAGTCCCGTCCCAGGATCTAGAGCCACAACAACAAGAAATCCTAGTTGCGGGAAAAATATACAATTCTCTATGTATTGGGCGGCCCATTCAGGAACATCTGCCGAAATTTGGTTAGCGACCTGGGTTAGAAGACTATCCATGCTATCGTATGTTCTTTTAAGTTCGTCTAACTCCGTATCAACTCCTTGTAGTACAGCTGTTCGGTGGACATCATCAGATGTTTGGAAATCTACAGTATTATTGATCATAATGCCAACCTCTGTGATTTCGGATGACTCGACTTCCGTGAAGAATTTTTTTGTGACAGATAGTGTTTCGTGGCCATTTAATTCGCGAATAGAATCCAATAATTTCAGAAAACGAAGAACAAAGTTTTGTAAGCTACCCCAGACACTTTTTCGTATGGCGTTGCCTTTCCTTGAGCTGTCACTGATACCTTTTTGCAAATGTATCACTATTGTACGTATATTCTTAATCATCTTTAGGTGGCTGTGAAGTTGCACAAGAGATACTGAATTTTCAGGTCTTAGGAGAACACTAATGGTTTCTAACCGTTCTTCTATAGCTGTGATGTCTATGCTGGGTTCCAAAAAGACCTGACGCAGTCTTTGCTTGCCTTGTGGAGTGCGTGCAAAATTACTGAATAGCCCAAACACCGAGAGACTTTCTTTTGCGCCAGAATTTGATTGATTAGGGCCTTGCATGTGAATGTTTGGATGATTTTTCGACTGCATTATTTGAAGAGACGCAAAAGTATCTGCATTGATAAACATCATATTAGACAGAGTAAACATTTGGATGGCGCGAACTTGGAAGCGAGTCTGGTCTTCTTGATTCGTCGGTAGGCATTGTGTGTTTCTACATCTAGATAGGTAATTGAGAATAGCACCAGCACAACCAACCTAGATTAAGGTTTAGTACGTTCTAGTTAATCTTACGTGAGGTTATTTCACCGTGAGTCGACTTTCAAGGTTAATACAGGACGCAAGTCTCAGCAATCTACCTTGTCTGCCCATGAATGATCTACTTCCTAAGATTCCTAGGTTGTCATTAGGCGTAGTAAACATCATATCGTGGTCGTCCTCTGAATCGAGCTCGAGGTTAATAAGCTTGTATTTGGCTTGCTCAAAAGAGAAGTCAGAAGAAGGTCGGTATTCAAGGCCGTAGGAGCCAGATATGTTGTCTGTACTTTAATTGAGAAATCATCATAAATGATGGTGTTAAAACTTACTCTCTTCACTTTCACGATCGATCCCTCGAGCATCATGGCTAAGATGCTTCTCCAAGTCTTCGTCTGTTCTAGTACTGATCAGAATAGTCGTTGGCTGTACGTGAGTCTTCAAGGTATCGACAAGATCTAGGCGACCCATCTTTATCTCCTCCATTAAATATAGCTTCTGCTCACAAGACTCGTAATATGCGCAGCCGATTACGCCACGGTCTCTCATGTCGATTGCCAATAGGACTTCACTTATTTCGTCTGTATCGTGATGCGACAAGGAGTCGGAAACGATCTGGGCCCCCCCAGTGCGAATTATATCATCATCTTGAGTCAAAAGGCTTTCCTGACGTTCTCTAACTGATACCGCAGTGGAGTATCTTTTTTGTGAAGATAGAGAAGATAGTCTTAAACTCGATGCTCTTTTGCTCTCCCCCATAGACTGTAGGGGACTTGAAGATTGCTCATAGGGCGTAGAGCTATTTGAAGTATGAACGGAGGAAGCTGGTGTGTTTAGACGCCTGCGTTTCGTTTTGCATTCGTCCATTACTGGCAGCTTCTTGTATTGCGTCGTTTAGCATCGAAAGTATCAATCTTTGGGGTTAATGGGGCTTAGTTCGTCAGGCTGTAAAGCCTGTTTTCGAATTAAAGAAACATATCATGATGACGATTTTAAATAAAGAGATATTATCAGGTACGGTAATATTGATGACATAGCTCCTCAACGTACATCTCAATTGGCTAACTTGAGATACTTCATTTACAATTTCAATATTGTACAAGGGTTTTAGAAACGCCATTCACTGAACACTCAATGGAAATGCTAATTATTTTGGTATTTTTGCTATGCCGTTTGTTTCTGTGAGAGGAAGCTGCCCATTTTTTGCCCACTCAATGAATCTCTTTCGTTGCTTTCTGATATCAACAAATCCAGGCCTGCTTTCAAGTGCTTTGTAAAAGTTTCCGACGTAATCATTATCAATCATGCCATTTTTTTTAAAGATACCATCCTCCCGCTGCCTTTCAATCTGACCAGCCCAGACACGCCATTGTATCGGTCGTAATTCAGGGGTTCCTAGAACTAACCCCAAGCAGATAATTATAACGGCTAAAATTGTTTCTATTGAAATATCGATTGGTAGGCAATATATCGAGTTTGGCGTTGCTGTATAGCTAGAGATTGATGTGAGTGAGTCGATGTTGATCGAGTATAACGCAAAGTGTTCATGAGCAGAATAACAACTAATTCCCGATTAGGATCTGTGGCAAGAAACTCTTTGAAGTAACCTACGCATGCACCAGAAATGCGAGCCCAACTACTGTAATTAACGATGAATATCCGCTCATCCTGATTTAGTTCATCCGGATCGCGAGGGAAATAACTGTAAAGTCTGGGAAGACACTTGACTGAATAATTATGCAGTCGATGGTGGCGTTTGAGTTAGGAGGTTCATGATTATTTGTCATGTCACGTGATATAGTGTCACATGATCTACCAGCACAGGTATCTACAGCTTCTCCCATACGAGTAATCTTCCTGCAACTTATTTTTTCCATCTCGTGCAGCACCAGGCCCAGTTCTATAATCTACAAATTTTCCCTCTTACCATGTAGTGAGCCCTGGTTTCAGTTGAAGGGGTTCAGAGCTACAACAGCAGGGCACATGCCACATGTCTCTTTGAAAGGACATAATAGTAAACCTGATTAGACTAGTATCACAAAAAAAGGCAATAAGCCTCAGATTGAGATTATCAGCTTTTTTATTTTCCTTTAGATTCCGTCTACAACTCATGGGTCCGCCGATAGGCTTACATTCATTTTTTAACGAACTTTCGAGCGCAGGATAATAAGATTCTAGCTGTCATTCGATATGTCAGATCTGACTGGGTGCTAACATGTCGGGTAGTTTTATTTAGACTCGGCTGATCTGTACAAGAAGAGCTTACGTACTGTGCGTGGGCACGATGTTAGATTGGATTTATTTTATAGTCCTATCTGAGCCTAAGACTATGGAGAACTTCTAGTATCTATGTAATAGAGTGAGTGATGTTGTTTATTGTACTGCTTGACTCATACACTATGTAGCATATTGGGCTCCTTTCTAGCTCAGGCCATACCTTGTACAGTGCTCCTTGCCTCTTATGTTCCTTTAAAGATCATTGATATATTGCCCGTGATGAATAGCCATTCAGCTAGGTATTTCCATGTGGAACTCGGCAACCTTTTCCACGGAACCTTCTACCCAAAAAAATAAAAATGTCAGTTAAAGGATCATATTTGGGCAGTGTGGATTGTTCTATATAATTGCGGTATTCAGGTTGTAGTTAGGACACTGACAGGGATCTGACTTAGCTCCTTAGCGAGGCGCTTGGAGTATAGGAGTGAGTGAGTGTTTATTGTCCTAAAAAGTCTGTAGCTATGTCTTGTCTTGTTCATTTACGTGCTAGGTAAAGTGATTCCCGTTGCACTCCTACTGGAACTTAAGCACGGGTGGGGCCGAGCTGGATCAGGTTAACTAACATTAAGTACATCTACCTCGGTCCCACCTGAATGACAGGACCACCTCAGACTTCACCCATGTGCTGAATCATGTCAAGCCCAACCATCCAGAGAACCCCCTTTTGGCGCGCCGAAGCGCAAATTCCTCCTTAGCCTCGGCCACCACGCGCCCGAGCCCTTGACACCTTCGCCATCTATAACTTTTCCCTTCGAATCATTCGCAGCTTTGGCTCATCTCAGCTTCTCCTCATCTCATCCAGGAGTCGTTTTCTTCACTGGAGGCCTCATCCAGTCGCCCACCAAGGCCTCCTCAGTTTGTATCCCCTTTTATTTCCTTCATACAGCATCCCTCTGTCCTTCAGCCGATCTTGTCATCCCAGAAACTTTGTAGAATGTCCACCCTTCCGGCCTTGCCCCGTCGCTGCCGTAACCCTAACCGTGGAGGTCGAAAATCTGACTGAGAGCTCAAGACCGAGGCACCGGCGCCCCAGCCTTTGTCGAACGCTCTAGTTCGTATGCCGGCGAAATGTCGTACGTATTTCATCGGTGGCAATTCGTCGTAGGTCGAGTTGTTGGTGCCCTTGGCCGAGGTGAGGACGCATCTAAGGCCAGTATTTCGACAGTACCTTCACAGCGGCTGGCAGTTGCGGAGAGTCGGAAATCCTCTTGCTTCTTAATTGGCGATTTGGCTTTTGGAAGTATGGGATTGCTTAGGTGGATTGTGAGATGATTGTGGAGAGGGCAGCGAGATTAGTTTGGCTGAGAATGAATTTCCAGAGAAAAAGGAAATAAGATTTTGAAGGTGTCGGTTGTCGTAATACGAACATCAGACGGGTTACAATCTGTCTGCGGTTCGTATCTGGGGTGTAGATGGTTGATTTCGTTGAGTTGTGCAGTCGTGAAATCTCTGCGAGTCGGATTTTCGACCAAACATGAGCAGACACCACTCCTCCCGATCGCCAACTCGACGAAAACTCTCAAATTCACCGTTTGTCGTGACTGAATCTCGGCTCTGGGAGAATATTTCACTCCCAGGTTCGTAGAGGACACCACTGACAGGTGTTCAGCCTTCGTCCTCCGTCTATAACTATGTAAGGACATGTAGGTCATTTCTGCCTACAGGCCGGGAGTATATATGCATCGGGTAATGTACTCCCTCCTATGCCTCCCTCGCGACTTCTTTCCAGCAGTAATACTGTTATAGTTATGAGCTGTGAGGTATGTGGTAATTATGACTTTGCTGTCCGTCGGTGGAGTTACAAGGGCTCACGTGCAATGGTGAGTCGCTGGGTGATGGCACGATGGACACTGAGTGCGTATCACTGTGACCAAATGGGTATCAGTGGGTATCAAATGTGAACTCTTACTGACAATGGTGATCTATGAAGGTGATGCTAGATGCCCATCTCGACGATTGATAATATCATCTAGTAGATAATGTGAAGTATGATACTATTCTGACAGATTTATTCACTAAACACGGCAGGAGAAGAAATTGTAAGGTAGATGAACAGCGTCTGTGCACCAGCCTGTATTTTCCACCCTTTCCTAATACAGCAGCCCATCTTCCGTTCCCCTGTCTCCTAACAACTCAACCGAGCCAGCACAACAAATACCCCCACAGGTCTTCATTTGAGTACACACCAAGAGGAGCCGTTATCCGTCATTATCTCCCCTCTCCAGCCAACGAAACGATGGACATTTGCGGGTGTGTAGCTGCAGGGAATAGTCTCAAAAACCACTGGGTGCGGGGCTCTCCTATCGCGAAGAGGCCGGCCATCCGGGCGCAGCAGACTTGTGTATACCTAAGGGCGTCTCTCAACCTTCCTAGCCTCCTCCTTGCTTCTCCCCTGATTCATACCGCAGGACAAACCGAAGGCCGTGAAAGGATGTTAGAAAAGTCATGGTCGAGAGTGACTGTCGTGAAGGAGCCTAGCCTAGTATCCAAAAGTCGTTACGGACGTGGGGCTGTCGAGTAACTCATGTATTTCAGATGCCCTCCTGGCTAGTACATTCGGAAGTTAAGATTAGTATTTTTTTTTTGCATCAGATTTTAGTTGCGTATGCAGCTATCTAGCTATGGCACAATATCAAAGAAAAGTACAGAAAAGATGACTCAATTTACAAGAGGAGCACTCATGCCTCAGATTTCATTTGCAAGTACCACTGCGAAGTTATGGCGGCTTTTTCTTCACCCCAAGTCAACCCTCATCCGTGAATACCCACCCAGGGGAACGTCTCAAAAACCCTGAGCTATGCAGACATGCCTCCGTCATCCATCAACTTTTCTCCGCGCGAAATATGGTCAGAGATGTCTCCTTCCCAAGTGGAGTAGGTGCCCAGGCTACTCAAACCATACCAGAGAACACCACCAGGAGGCGGACCACAACACCTTCCATCGTTGGCTTGTTTTTATACTGTCGGCTGCACTCTCGCCAGCAAAGTCTTGGCGCGCACAAAGCTCAATTTGTAAAACTTCTTGCCATAATTCGGGATTTCACGCCCTTCGAGGTTATATCCTTCCTTCGCATCATCTTGTCAACTTGTCCTGATTCCTCTCACGTCCATCCCAAAGAACTGTCTCCCAGATTTGTGCGCCACGCTTTGTTTCCTCCGTCGGGTGTAAAAATCGGCGTGGGCGTGTATTTGGTGGTCAACTGAGGCCAGAGAAGGTCGAAGAGTGGTGTGGTCATTGGAATGAGGATGTACTAGGTCGTGTTTGTAGGCTTGATGAGACTTAGATAGGAGTCAATCTCGATGGGAGCGAAAAAACGACGTGGATGAGTAATTTAAATCATTGCCTCGTGGGCCAACTTCTTTGATATTGCGAAATTTGACTGAACTTGGCTCTGGGGGAATATTTCACTCACAGGTTCGTAGAGGAAACCGCGTACAGGTGTTCAGTCTTGCCCTCCTTAAGATTAGTAGGGACGATGATTTAGACGAGTGGAATTCTGCTTTTCTTGAGGGCGGAAGGGTCTTTTACTTTGCTTTCGTGGGTTTTTTGTTCGCCCGCCGGTTGGTAGCACATGTTGTGATATAACGAGGGCTTCTCTGACTACCGTTGTAGCGTTTGGTACCGCATTATCTTTCCTCATTCCTCATTCCCAGCATCATTATCATTGTCTTGGTCGTCTTATGAGTTATGGTAAGCGTATCTTTGATGGAGGGGGAGATAACTCAGCTCAAAGTTGAAAAGGTGGTGTTTCTCAATCTCGGCTCTGCAGACTCTACAGTGAGAACTGGAGGTTTGTAGGGGACACCACTGACAGGTGTTGAGAATAGTCCCCCGAGACGATCTGTCAAGTGAAGGAGTAGTCATTCTTTGATAACACAAGTTATTGACAGAGTACTTCTCAGTTATACGAGGGAATAATATACGTTTAGAATAGAGTAAATAGGTGGAACACAGTTTCACGGATGGGGACTTATATGAGGCCCAACTTATATCACTACTGAGGGATATCAATTCAATCCTGACCCATCTACGCCTTACGTTTGCTTTGCAGTGTCTCTTATCAGGTTATATGAGTGATCAGAGTATGTAGATTTTAATAACTATGTCTATTTCTTTCACGTCAAGTGAAGGCAAACGACTTTCCTAGCAACTTCAGGAATAGACACTATACCTTCAAGTGTCGATAATATTTGCCTATAATGAAGGGTCTATTGTAATTTGTTTGCTAGACCTGGCGGTGTAGCTTATCACAGTTAGAGAGTGTATTCTAGATTGCAGTAGTGGCTCGTTAGAGATGCGATTGCGACAATACAATTGAGGGTTGTGTGAAAGTTTGGCACTCCTATGGGTTTCAATTGTGTGGAGGTTGATTCAATTATTGATGATAATTATATGTTATGTCTATCTACAGAGAATGTGTCACAGCTCTGTGGGTCCCCTATCCCGTGACTTAGGGTTGCCCACATTCTTGGACATAACACTTGTAGCTAGAGGAAGGGAAGAGAGAAGAAACAATATATACTTCATTAAATGTCTTACTTCTAGTAACAATTGTAAGCAGTCGTTATACGACTCATTTTAAATTAGATACGAGACTTGAAGCCACAGCTCTACGTGTGCCCGTAATCGCTTAGATTTGGCTAGTGGGCTGTCCCCTCTTTTACTTCGCTCCCGTATTCCATCACGTGAGATTTAATAACTGCTCACCACAAAGTCAGCAGATTGAACAGCGTTCGATCGCAACAGGGTCGTTGTTTTCTCTGGGGCTTGGCCCTTTACTCTCCAGCGGCTGTAGATGTTGATTGCAACTTTGAACCAAATTGACAGTATCAAACCTTCCGATACTGGTATTAATTCTAAGAATAATTTTTGTGGAGTTTGTGACGGCTGTCAAGCCTAAGGGTTCCTGTAACCTACGCTGTCTAGCGCAGGCAATTATACGAAGGGAGGTTCCTGGGAAGATCTTGGATGACAGGGAACCTAGATGATTCACATTGAGCCTTATTGAAACCTACTGAGAGTTCATGAGGGTTACGGAAGTATCAAGGATCTTCTAGGCGATTATCGGAGAGTTTGAGTTGTCAAGTCATAGAGAGAACCTTATCGAGGAGGGATATTTCAGACTGTATATATAGGTAGTCATTAAGTACAGGAACTCTCTCTTTAGAGAATTATTAAAATATTGTACCTACAAGATCGCCCATGCATTTTATAATGAAACCGTGACAGAGTTCCATCCATCCTGTCGAAGCCAAAAGGGTAGGCGGATATCTACAATTAACAAGAGAGTAACTTACCTTTCCATTATTTGGGTTGTCTCATCAAACGCATCGATTATCGGCTCGTACAATTCTTTGTCGTCCATATTGTTGTCGATAATGAATTCGTTGTTCTTGTAAAACAATTTGTTCCAAAACTCCGAGACCAATGGCTTTATATCCTCAAACATTGGTGAGAACATAGGTAGAAGTTGATCTTTGAAAAAGTATTTTTGCAAATGCTTTTCCTTTTCCGAAAATATTTGTTCCGCAGTTCCAGTATACCATGTTGACAACAGTCCCTCGTACGGTGAGTCGTCGTCTGCCCAACCACATCGTATACAAATCCATACTAGTACATAGTAGAATGACTCTAAGTCATGACGGTATTTATGACTAACAACCACTCCAATGCTCGAGCAACTTCCTTTTAAAGTCTCTAATGCCATGAATTGTGTTGTGCCCGTTATCACTCCTTTATTTCCTTGTTCTTTGCCATCCTTGAACAAGGTTGCAAGATCCAGATCAATAAGTCTACCACCATACATTGTCGTTTCTCCAGGGTCGATGAAGATGATATTGTTCACTGAGATATCTCTGTGAAGTATCTTTGCGTCGTTCAGTAATGACATGTGAGCCTTGATAGCATCACGTAGACCAATGATAAGTTCTAGTCCGCAATTGAACTTGTAAATTGGACGTCCAAACGGTGTTATCGCGACAGCAGCTTGCTGACGGTCGCGGATTACTGCATGCTTGACCTTTATTATCTTAAAGCCCGGTGTTTCAGCACTAGCAGTGATTCCCGCATTGTATACGTCCGGTGTAGCATTCATGCCAAGTTGGTTTTGATCGTTCCTGTGACGGCTTGTAAGCCGGTAATTGCCTGTAGCCTGCGCTGTCTAACGCAGGCTTAGCATGAAACAAGGAGGGCCTTATAAGTGGCAATAATAATACTGTAACACGTCCGGGGATGGGGCACGAGAATGTGATACGAGTAGGGGATATGAGTAGGGAATACGAGTAAGGAATACGGATATACGGATAGAAATCTGTGTCATTGGCTGGGATAATAATCATGTATAAAGTAACTGTTATTATCCTCTTCAATCTGTAGTTCACCATAGATTGAAATTAAAACTACCTCTGACCATAAGGTTGCCCAAGTGCCTATGTTTAGACTGTGACAGTTCCTATGACTTGTTGCAGCCAAGCCCGCATGAACTGTTGAAGCCCCTCCATGATTACTTGCCAATTGTAGTCTTTTGACGCGGTCATATACCTCAGAGCCCTCAGATAACGTTCGTTTTCCTCCGATAGACAAGTTGGATCCCAGCTCGTGAATCCGACTACTACGTCGTAGGGGCTTTTGAGGAATAACTGACGTACCTTCGGCGGAGTTAGAAAGTTCCTGTTCTGGCGCAGATCTTGTCGGTTGTGGGCGTATTTCAACGACAGGGACACTTCGCGTGGTTACAGATTCTGTTTGAATGGTAGCAGCTCATTTGACAGGACTTGGATTAGGAAGCTTACCATTTTTACTACTTTTGGCCCTTTTACTAGCAGAACCATTGATCCCTCTAGTGTGATTTGATTCGATTTTCCGCTTCTGTGCCGTAGTCTTGCTCGTGCTCTTTTTTGGGACACTTACTTGCTTCTCGATAAACACGGTTGGAGTTGTGAATGACTTCTCTTTCGGTCGACTGTCTTTCACCATCTGCCGTGTAAACACAAATCCTTTCCGGATATTGCCTATCGTCTCCAGGTGACGCCATTCTAGAAGCTTAGCCATTCCAACGACGTTCGTTGTCACTTTGAGGAGCTCAACTTCAGATTTTGCCTGGTAATTCCCCATGAGAACTTCACCACATTAGTCTTGTCGATATAGCGATAACAACAAGTACTCCGAGACACAAGTGCTTTCTGACATTCAAATGGTTCCGTCTCAAGCGAAAATTCACGCTTGGACTTTGTGCCGAGAACCTGCAGCTTAATGACTATCTTATCATCATGGTGTTGAATAGAGGAGTCGATTCCATGCTCTTTGTTAGTCATTAGCATGTGCGCCGCAAGAACATGCACCAGTTCTTCCTGCGATTTGCCAATTTCGATCAAGGAGCAAGAATACGGTCCTGACCGATCATACACACAAAGATACAGTTGCGTCCCGAAAAGTATGAATCCGTGCACAAATGTACGGAGAGGCTGGGCAGAGAAGACTTCGCTCATGTACGCGCTCAGTTGGAGAAACTTTCCCAGAAACCTCGAGGGGGTCGACTTTGTCAACTCTCCTACCACGAGGATGTCCCGCCAGTGATGTTTATCAATGGCAGGCTGATTTTTTCGTTTTATGAAATAGCCCACTTGGTTATCTGTTTTGCGTCCAATGATATTACCCGCTGCAAGAGTGTGATACTGGGATTTATCGAAGGCGTGTGTGTATTTAGTAGAACGAGGGCTCTGTCCTTCTGTTGGTGCCGCATCACTTGAGATAGATGATGAGTTAAAAAACTCTTCCTCTAGGGCCTTCATCCATCTCCACACTGAAGCTTCTTCTAGCTCCTTTGGAAACTTAAGCTTTTCTTCTCCGGACCGTTTGACATAACTCTCCGTGATGTCAGTGCATTGTTTGGACCATGCTCGATCCATGAAGTACTTTTTCTAGAATCCTTCTACACCGATGAAGATAGACCCAGATAGCTCATGCCGGATTGATTCCTTCAGATCTACCATCTTCCGTTTGGTTCCATTTTAAAAGACACCAACTCGTCTATACATTGACTCGGCGGCTAAATCTTTCAATTGTTTGCTCGAGATTTTCATAACTGATTCGACTTTGTTCACAAGCTGGACTAGGGAATTCCATACTTCGAGATCGGATGCCTCATCCAGTATTACTTGGGCTAGCGGCTCAAATAGGGTCAATTCATGTTTCCGACTTCATGCAATTTTTAATACAACGTAAACGAGATTCCAACTTCTTATATTCCTGTGTTACAAAATTCCCGTCGTAAATATAATTCCACAGAATGCTCATTAGATTCTCAAGCGGGACTCGATATCTGCTCAAGTCTTTGGGTTTTGCAAACGGCCTATCGCATGGAGTGGTAAAATATACTGTGTAGAGAGAGCGGAATGCCTCTAAGATTGGGGATATAGGATTTTTAGCCAGGTGCATGACAAATTCAATGCTGGATGACATCTTTTTGTGGTCATAAGTCAATATGCGTTGTTGTACGGTGAATAGTAATTAGCAAATAGATCGAGGACTGCAAGGTAATGAGCAAATTTTGAAAGGAGCAGAATGTTTTATGTTGTTAAGCTGTCATCTGTACTTACTACTACGACTTTCACAATGGAAGTTGAGAAGTTAGAATACGACTAACTACTAGACATTCGATACGATTGGTTTGAAAGGTCATACATCATTTCTGATGTATGACGTCATGTATGCCGGGAAAAAAATTTAGACTGAATGGTTGCAATCTGTATCCCTGTGTGAAATCGTTACTTTCTTTCACAATTGGAAGCTCTATTTAGGTCCCACTAATAAAAGCTGTTGTTGGATGAATGGACAAGGGATCGTTGTTGATGAGTCAGATCCATCCAACCAAGCGGGTGTGGTTGAGCAGCGATATCATTCGACATAGCAAACTTGATGAACAGTTATCATTCAGCATAGGAGTCTCCGCATTGATTGCTATTCGGCCGCTCATCTTAGTTTTTCAATGGCTGAACTCAATTTATACCATAATTGTTGAATTACTATGATTGTCATCGATATAACTCTAAAATTCTTTCATTCCTACGTATGAAATTTAATTCTGCAAATATGAGGGACGGACCGATGATTTGTCCACCGTTCATTCAATGTCCAATCTATCTTGCATTTCACGTTCACCGCTCAATTTGTGTATTCTTAGATGTGATATATTTGGTCAGATAATGCAACTCCGGTCGTAAACCGTAATATACCTCTTGATCCCTACAAGTAGTGTGTGTGTGTTTATTGTACTGCTTGAGTCACACACTATCTAGCACATTGAGCTCCTCTCTGACCCAAGCCACACCTTGTACAGTGCTCCTTGCCTCTCATGTTTCTTGAAAGATCATTGATATATTGCCCGTGATGAATAACCATTCAGCTCAATATTTACCCGTGGAATTCGGCCACCTTTTTGACGGAACCTTCTATCCAAAAAAATTAAAATGGTAGCAATGGAAATTGCGTGCGCGGGAAAAAGTCTCAAAAAACCTGCAGCCCCAGCTAGGCGGGGCCCAGACACCGGGACCACATGAGGTGCGCATATTCATCTATATCTCCCTTCTTTGTAACATTAGAGGTCAACTTGATCCAATCTACTATCTCCGTATCGGGTGCTGGGTACGCTCCGGAAACTCATCGGATAGCTTTTCCTCCATGATAATGGTGATAGGGGAATGTGTTGAGAGATGAAGACGACACAGACCGCGAAAGCGATTGGGAATCCTCATTGAAGTGAAGACTTTGTTACTCAATCTCGGCTCTGCAGACTCTTCAGTGAGAGCTGGAGGCTTATAGGGGGCACTACTGACAGGTGTTGAGAATAATACCCGAGGGACAGGAGAAAGCTGGTTCGAGTCTGATAAAACCCACACACCACTTTCTCTCGCGGTGATAATGTATATGTGGGATGATGAGAGCACTCTGGGATTAACATAGGATTTTAATGATTTTCCCTGTGGTGGGTATGCACGGAAGAGGATAGACGCCGTAACGGTTAGCCTCCAGTGGTATCTATAAACGAAATCTGAAAGTGAATGTTCAAAATGTCAAATTGAGTCAACGCTCAGTCTCTTGTGGGTTAAAATTTTACATGACACTGTAAAAACAAGCCAACGATGGAAGGTGTTGTGGTCCGCCTCCTGGTGGTGTTCTCTGGTATGGTTTGAGTAGCCTGGGCACCTACTCCACTTGGGAAGGAGACATCTCTGACCATATTTCGCGCGGAGAAAAGTTGATGGATGACGGAGGCATGTCTGCATAGCTCAGGGTTTTTGAGACGTTCCCCTGGGTGGGTATTCACGGATGAGGGTTGACTTAGGGTGAAGAAAAAGCCGCCATAACTTCGCAGTGGTACTTGCAAATGAAATCTGAGGCATGAGTGCTCTTCCCTTGCGTTGAATCATCTGTTCTGTACTTTCTTTGATATTGTGTCATAGCTAGATAGCTGCATACTGTTGAAATTATGGAGTTCGGAGAAGAGTCAGGTGATGCTTAATGGAAGTAATTGACGAAGGGTTTGGTTGTTGAGTTTTCTGTGATTTCTGTGGTGGCATATACTTTGTCGATCCTATTAAGCTCGACAATTAGTAGTCCCGACTGACTGGCGTTTGGCGAACGGAGATTGCGTATACCCTGCGCTAGCGTTGTTTACTGCTATTAAAATGAGATCCCGCACGGGCTATCTATTGGGATTGGGTTGGATGGTGCAGTGGTACGCCATCCGGGCCGTTCTCCTAAGTAGATACTGAGTAGCTTGAACACCTACCCCATTCGAGACAGGAGAAAGCTGGTTCGAATCCAGTCAGACCCACACACCACTCTCTCTCGCGGTGATATTGTACTTGTGGGATGATGAAAGCACACTTGGATGGCCACAGGGTTTTCACGCTTTTCCCTGTGGTGGGTATGCACGGAAGAGGTTATACGCCGTGAGGGTTAACCTCGAGTGGTATCTGCAAATGAAATCTGAGTGTGAGTGTTCTAAACGTCAAATTGAGTCATCCTACTTAAAGTACATATCTTCCGATAAAAACCTGCATGGGCCTCAAGGCGCCAAATCAGGATAATGAATAATTATTATTATTATTGGGATTAAAAGGAGTCTAGTACCTGAAATTAGTAGAGTAGTCGAATTAACATCCTTTATCCTTCATTATTGCATAAGCTTCCCTCTACCAAAAAGTCCACGAACTAAGTAGTGGGTTATACAATTCAATACATACGCAATTAAAATCTGATGCAAAAATAAAATTGTACAATTGTCAAAATGACTGGGTTTGGATCCCTGTACATATTGATCTGATTGGTCTGGTCTTCATGCAGGCCCATGTCTAGTTCGTCGACTAGTTATGCAGCAAGGATACTATCTAATGGTGTTCTGTAAATGTCTAAATTATGGGAATGATTTTCAACTCAATGGGAAAAGTGCAATGGTCCTTATTTAAAATAAAAAATGAAAAAAATCAATTGATATTATCTAAATTTACACATCTATTTCAAAAATAATTGCTCTGTATTACCAAAGTCTACATCGAAGCTCTCAGCATGGCTCGCAAGTAAAATGAAAGCGTACTACATGTTTTGTATTAGTCTGCTCCATCCTAATACTTTGTGTACCCTCCATTTTCCTTTATCACCGCTATACATCTTTTGTGCATGTTAACCACACTCAACGGAGGCTTCTTCCGAGGAATTCATTTGCTTTAACCTATTTTTTGTCTGCATCAGGAATTAAACGCTCACTGCATCTCCAGTGGCTGAAGTGTCCCATTGCTAGTTCTAAACAGCACGTTTGTCAATTTTCAGGAGATTCCCGGACGAAAGCCTCAAGCTCATCAATTTGTTCCGTGTTTAATTTAGGTAGGTGTTTTTTGCGAGGCTTAAGATTCTCAGTCTCTCGAGCACACGCAAATTTTACTTGCCTCATTGTGAAGCCAAGTTCGTCGGATATATTTTGTAATGTCATGCCAAGTCTTAATGTTCTTATTTCAATACATTGGTCGCGAGTTAGATGCTTGCGAGCTTTGGTTTCTGAAGCAGACTTTTGGAGAGACGTTGTTTGCTAGAATAGAGGATGAATTGATGGTGAT